CGTTCAGGGCGGTCAACCAGGTGCTGCAGCCTGCCTTTCAGGTGCGAGATAACATCAGCATATCTTGTGTCATGAAGTATCCCGCCATGGATCCAGCAGCGCACCTGGCTGGGTGACGGCCAGGTCGTCTGCAAGTCTTGGGGCATGGACTTGCAACGGCCGGCGCGCCGGCACCGGCGCTGCCTTGGTGACGCCGTTTGCGAATTGTGCACGACTGGCGTCGGCAAGTACTGCTCAGGCCTGTCGGCTGTTTGCAAGACCCATTCTCCTCGCGTGCACACACTCACACACCCACAACACAATCTCCCGCTCTCTCTCTCTCTCACACACACACACACACACACACACACACACACACACACACTCACACGCATGTGCGCATACCTGCAACATATTGACACTAAGACGCATGTGCTCGCGCGTCCTCCCCCCACCGCCACGCCCCCAGGCGCTCAAGGCCGAGGCCGCGCGGCAGCGCTGCAGCGCGAGCGCCTCTGTCTTTGGCTACGACGACGCCCTGCGCGCGCTCCACCCCTTCCTGCGCCGCTGGCGCGCGGCGCGCGCGGCTCACCCGGACCTGCGGGCATACATTGTCAGCGCTGACATCAGCAAGGCGTTCGACACGGGTGCGGGGCCATCGTCGGTCGCAGCGCGTGCGTTGGCCCCCAGGGGGGAGGAACGTGCTCACAGGGCGAAGCGAGCAATGTGGCGCAACGCCGCGTGGCTCGTCCTGGGTAGACCGCCGCCGATAGCTAGACACAGACCCCGCAAAGAGCAAATCCCCCTGCTTGACGCTGAAACGCTCGGCCCTGTTGCCATCCACTAAACAACGCCATCGGCTGCATGGCGCCCACCTCAGTGGACATCCAGAAGCTCCTGAGCATCTCCGAGCCGCTCCTCTGCAGCCCCACCTACACGCTGCTGCGCTACTGCGAGGCCTCCCCCGCCCTCGGCTGCGTCCGCGTGCGCCACTCCACCGTCGCGGTCCCCTGCGAGCCCTCCGCGTTCCCGGGGTTCCCGGACTGGCTGCGCGCCGCCGCGCGCGGCGGCTGCAGCACCGTGTACTGCGACCAGCTGCCGCACCGGCCGCTGGCGCGGGCGGACGCGCTGGCGCTGCTGCGGGAGCACCTGACGCGGCATTTGCTGCGGATCAGGGGGCGGTGGTACCGCCAGACGTGCGGGATCGCGCAGGTATGATGGTGTGTGTGAGTGTGTGTTTGTGAGTGTGCGCGTGCGTGTGTGTTTGCCTCGGTGTGTGAGTGTTTGTGCAGGTCTTTGCTTGCATGTTTGATCGCCGTCGTATCCTCATGCATGATCGCGTGGATTCACCCGAACGCAAGCATGTGAGTTGAAACATGCGCACCCAAGCATGTGGCATCATATGTGTCGTCTGCGGGGTCATGGACAGCTCACTGCCACCGAGGCGCTGCACGGCTGACCCAGGGCTGCGCAATCGGCTGCCCATGCATGCGGTCACTTTCAGCCCCTTGCCCCACCATCCGACAATCACCCCACACTCACGCCCCATACCACGCGCTCGCCGCTCAAAATTTGCCTCTCTGTACGTCACAATCCCACTCACCATAAGTCCGTCCATCCCTGCGCCCGCCGCCTGGTGCAGGGGTCTGTGGCAAGCACGCTGCTGTGCAGCTTGTATCTTTCAGATCTGGAGGAGACCCACCTGCTGCCCCTCCTGCCGCACGCGCACACCCAGCCGCGCGCCGCGCGCGACCACGCCGCAGGCGCCGGCACGGGCGCGGGGGATGCGGTGGAGGCGGACGGCGCGGCGCGCGAGGAGGGGCGGCAGCCGCAGCGGGGCCAGCGGCGGGCCGGCGGGGTGTCGGGTGCGGGTGCCGGGGGCGCCGGGCCGAGCTCGGGGCTGGGCCGTCTGACTGCACTTGCCAACTGCAGCACGCCCGCGCTGCTCGCGGGCAGCTCCCACCCGCGGTCGGCCCCGGGCAGCGGAAGCACACCCAAGGGCGGCGTCGGGGGCAGCGGCGGCAGCGGCG